TAACATTTATTGAGTCCTCACACACAAATGATTATTACGTAGACATACTGAACAACAATATCTTGCGTTTGTAAAGACAATGGTATTTATGTAATGTATATCTCTACAAGATTCATGGTCAGTCGTGTAAGTCTTCTCGGGTAGGAACCTACGACCAATCCTGCACATAGACCACTTCCCCCGCTCGACGATCATTGAAGAAGACTTGTTCATACTTGAAAGAGGTTAGGTATTTCAGGAGAAAACTAACTTTAACCATCATACATACTCATATACTTAAAGGATACATTGCAAAAATACCCCTGAATTGCCTAACCATAAAAATGATCCAGACTACCAGTTCATATTAAAAAAAATTGGGTACCCCTTTTGCAATTTTTTCGCTTACATACCAGGAAGATGCATTCGCAATTTTTTAAGAGTGCTTTTTGGAGATGACTGGCTATTATGACTAAATTTCAGGGGTGATCAGAAGAAGTCGTGGCACTTCTGGATATGATTTTTTGCAATTATCCAAAGGTTTCAACCGAGACACGATATTCATCTAGTATTTTACAACAAGTAATAATTTTCTTACCAAAACCCATCTGAGAAGTGTTACACACATCAGGTAGATGAGGACTCCCTTCTTGGACGCATATAATTTGCGAAAAGCTCGACAATGCATTATTTTTACCAACATCCTGTAACATTTTATCTTTAATCTAAGTGATATCATCGACATCTGAAAAAATAGAGTTTTAACAAATTTAGAGTAATAATAACCATCAAGCTTCACGGGGACTTACCAGGTGCACATCGGTTAGCAAAGAAAAGGACATGGCAATTCAACCGTAGTAAGACACACAAATGAAAAGGTTAAGTATGATCTTTAGTCTCATACCAAAATATATAAATCATAAAATGACTGAGTCAACATGGCCATTTTTGAATACATGAGCATAAGTAAAAAAGAATACATCTTGCTGCAAGTTCGACAAAAGACATAGAATAAAATCAAAATTGACGAAAGAAATATATATTCATTGATTGGTAAGTTCATACCAGCTACATATAGCTCAGGGAATACCTCCATAATGTTGGCTTTAACTCCGTCTGACGTTCTTCAGTATCACGGGCCAGCAAGAGACGACATGAGAAGTTGTGGAAAAACCCCTAATATCCTTCAAGTTGGTCTTGGCAACGACCATCTCAGGAAGTGAAAGTAGGGCCGGAGAGCATAAAGGACATATAATCATGGGGGGTTTAAAATTGAGAGAAGCTTGCACTCTGCTGCGTGTGTGGAAAATCGAAATCTCAGCACAGACAAAACCACGAAATTAATGCCTTTAATATCAACAAATACCCATTACAAAATAAATCCTCACCAACACACAAGCTGAAAAAAAAAATAGCACAAAAGGCGCTGCGTTGGTACCCTCACACGGTGGCGCTGGATCTTTCGATGTGCCGAGGATCATCTATTTCTCGCCGGTACAGGGGATGCTGAGACTGATCGATTTGTCACAGTTGGGGTTCTTCACGCACACGGGGCTATCAGATTTGGGGGCCAATTGCACGAATATGGTGGGGGAGTTCTTCACCTTCCTCTTTTTTGTCGAACGCGACGGAGCTCAAGAACTCCGCCATGGCGGCGGTTGCTCGGGCGAGGAGCTTGGAGAGGCTTTGTCTGAAGAGAGATGGCGCCCTTTGTTAGGAGAGAAGAATCAGGGTTTCAAAAGTGAACAGAATGAGGTCTATTCAATCACTGAGGTACAAAGAGACGTGCAAGAATCAAAGAGTAACAGAGAAAGATGAGGGCAAAAAGCAAACAAAGAAGAAAGCAGTCAAAAAGCAAATCAGAATTTCCGGATACGCTAAAGTCAAACATCAAGGATAAAATGAATTTACACATCAACCCCAAAAAGCAGAAAAAGTTGAGGGCAATTCCAGGATTAAAGGAAGGTCATTTTAGTCCAAAAAGGACACGTGTCGGCCTAAGAATTGGTCCTCAATGTTTGCTTATATATATAGTAGAGATATCATTGGGGTCTTTAGGTCACTACAAACCAGGTGGACAATACACAAGGCCTGAAATTAACTAGGGATCAATAATGTCGGTTTACGCATAAGTCGTGCTAGATTAGATTAGTCTCTATTATGATGAAGCAAATCATATTTAGGCTTTGATTTTGATGGGTCTCCTCCTAGATCTGGAGTGAACCGGTGGAAATGAGCTCCGGTCTGTTTGAATCGCCTTCAAGTCGTCCGTGAGCCACCACGAACACCTGCAAAAACTCAACACCGGAGGTGTTTTCCGGTGAAGAGCCTCCGAAGCTCAAGTTAGTGAGAGAGAAGAAGATGAGCTCTGCTCAATAGGAGCAACAGCTGAATAATGAATAGAGAGAATGAAAGTTAGGGTTTGGAGTTACCTCAGCCCCTTTATATTGGCCCTTTATATAGGGGTAAAAACACTTAATTGAAATACTTGAAATGCCCTGGCCGACTTATGCGAAGTGTCCAAAATGCCCTGGTCGGTTCACATTTCACCCACTCCTGAGTCAGCGTCTAGATTCCTTCTCATCCTGTGTGAATTCACTTGAGTATCCTCCATATGCTGCATCTAAGTGTATTAAATCGTTGGAGATTTTCTAAGTCGACTTGGGACCTTGTCGAGTCGATTTGAGGTTATATATGTATCTGGGCTCCCAGAGTGCCTGCTCGTCTTCTTTAGCGAAGTCGTCTTGTACTCGATCGACTTCCTAAAGTCGACTGGAGGACGTGGCCAGATAAGTGGTCTTTGAACGGCCGATGGGCCAAGTCGACATTGTAGATGTCGACGTAATGGAGTCGTCCGCAGTCTTTTAGCCAGGTAACAATTATTTGAATCGGGCTATGATAATAGGGCTATATCATCTAGTCCCACCTCCCCCCAAAAAATTACTCTAAGCGACTTCGAGCTTAAGAGTAAATTTGGTAGTCATCTCGTCCTTATTCGCAAACCGTCATGTCGATTTGGTAGCCAGGTCCTTTGCTTTCTACTGATGAGTCGTCTCGTCTCTATTTTTGGCTCATCATGTCGACAATTTATCTCATTTGTCTTTAGCTTATAACCGAAGCTTTCACTTAGAATTTTCCTGAAGCATGACCCTTTGTCCTCTTTCTTTGAATTTCAAATTTTTCGTGAGTGGGATGTGACTCGCCGCCTCCATCTACTTTTTCCGCTTCGAATTCCGTGCCTTATCTTGACCGTCGATTTCCTCTTTAATCGCAGGGCTAGGGCTTCATTAACCGCCCTATAACTATCTCTCATTTTTCTCTTTCTTCACTTTTCGCGATTCTCTTTCATTGAATTCTCGAATTTCCAGCAATCTAGCTTCTTGGTGTTTCCGGCGCTCATAACATCCGGTGACTTCTCAGACTCCTCTCAGAACTCTTTGCCCTAATCAACATGTGTAAGTTCCCCTTTTTATTTATGCAAGATGTTATGTTAGCTTTCTGGGTTTTTGGTTTGGGATCTATGCATGTTCTCGTGTTCTTAAAATTTTTTAGATGATTCTGGGTAACTTCCGACGTCAGATCTTTCATGTTTAGGTACAACCTTAGATTTGATGTTTTTTTTTGGCGAATTGACTCGACTTAGAGTCTTTTTTCCTCTTCGCACATTGTCATCGACTTTGTCGATCTTTCTTTCAGTAGGTCGACCCCGACCCAAGATTTGGTCGTCCTGGGCTTGATTCCCTTACACTTTTCTTCCTCCTCGCCTCTCGACGCGCTCTTAATCTCCTCCTTAGTCTGTTCCATGCTTTACTAACTTCGACCTTCTCTTCTTCTTTCTTTTTAGATTTCGGTCCTGGCTCCTCTCTTGGTACCGTCGAGCGCTTGATCGACGAGGGCCCCCAATCATCCGACTCGGTGCAAATAGTGGGGTACAGAGTGGCTAGTGTATCCCCACCACCCTCTTCTTCTCACGTCATCGCTCCACACGTCGACTGGGATGAGTACGAACAAGCCCTTTTAGAGGATGGTTTGGTAGATCTTCCAGAAAATCCTTCTCGAGGGGAAACTCCTCATCTCGACCCTTTTCCCCGAGGTATTCCTTTCAAACTACTAGACATCCCTGTATATAGAACTAGTCCAGTTCCTGAACCTTTGATCGCTCTTCCTAACGACCCTCGAAATGTTGTATCAGTAGCATTTTTGTTGGCTAAGGTACCCGTTTTAAACCCTTTTTCTTATGCCTCTGCAGCCCAAATCGAGGGCTTTAGGTCGTTCAGCGGCTTGCCTTCCGACTGGGAGTTGGTTCCCCCTGGTCCCCATGATGTTTTTACTCATCCCCCTGAGGGCTGCTTCACTTTCTTCGTTTACCAAATAATGTTCGGTTTGTGATTCCCTATTCAAATTTGTCGATTAGCAACATGTACAATGTACCCATAATCAATTTTCTCCTAATGCCATTCGCATTATGGTAGCCTTTATCATAATCTGTAGAATAAAGTTAGGTCGTTTTTTGCCCGAGTTCTTTCTGTATTGTTATAGCTATCGCTTCATAAAGGACGACCATTGTTTGGGTCGTCGTCCTGGTGTTTCCTTCCTCGAGGATCTCTCTTCCAATGGTACCGAGTGGAAAACTAAATTCTTTTATATTCGTCCTGCTCCTGGCCAATATCCCTTTTCCAATATCTGGATCACTTCGAAAGTTCAGCCAGATCTCAAACGCCCTCAGTCGAGCGAGTTTCAAACCATGTTAGACGATCTAAATAAGTTTAGGTGGAGTGCTCGTTTACTGGTTAAGGATAGCGGTCTCCTTAACTATGTAGGCCTTTGGATTGATGAGGATGCTCCTCAGGTCGACGATCCCGTTAAGCCCGCATGCTTTATTCACTTAATCGTCTCTCGTTTGTTTTTTTTTTTTTACTCCAAGCCATATTGTGATGACGATTATTGCGATGGTTCTTAACCGGCTACTCATTCATTGCATGTTTCAGTTAAGGCTCTGCAACGCTTTGAGACCAAGAAAACTAAGGGTAGCGAGAAGTCCGCCAAGCAACCTTCTCACCTCGCGGGAGGTAATGACGGTCCTGGTTCTGGATTGATGCAGGCGACAGTCGAGACTGTAACGCTCCATATTTTATTAATAAGGAAAATACTAGCTTTGAAAAATAAGCTAGCCTTATTTAATAAATAATCATGTCAATGTTCAAGATTAATTATTCCAATTTTGACGTATTGATTAAATTAATCGTCAAAAGTTAAGTTCAAGCCATTTATTCAGTTTCAGTTAAAGTCCGACTATTAGTCGATAAATTATTCGGTTTAATTATTTGAGTAACCGAATAAGTTCCAGATTTAAATTCTGATTCGTTTCTTTAATTAATGAGTTCGGAATTTTTTTTTTTCCAACGATATAGCGATCTCCATAAATAAAAAACGACCAAAAAAGGTCAAAAAGTACAAGGGGAAAACCCCTAATCCGGCAAACATGAGAGGGCAGCACACAGGCTCCCTAAACATTACACAAACATCAAACCGATCCCAACCCACACAACAAGAAGAAACTGAAAATTACAAAAGAACATAACACAGCACACAGCACACTTAACAGATCCAACCATAGACCCACAGCCCAAATCAACAATATCAAATAAGAAACCTAGCAAACAAGGTAAAAAACTGACACAAGACCTATTCTACCTCA